TTATAAATGTTATCTAAAATTATTTACATTAGACAATGAATATCAACTAATTGAAATTGACTTCTAGTAAGAAATGGTAAATTAAAACATATTTTGTATATTGTAATTCCTGTCTATTTCCCCGGTAGTAATTTTTTTCTATTCGAAATACAAATCACTAGGAACTTGTTTAAAATTGCAGTAATAATATATTATTGTACATAAGTACAATATTAAACATTACTTAAAATTGAGAATCAAAATTATGAAATCTCTCTTCTGTGAATCAGTGATATAAAATTTACATAAGTCTATTATCGTAACATAAATATTCCCTAAAACTCGGGTGATACGGTTGTGTAAAGAATGGCAACACTGCCGTCGGACTTGTTTACGAAGAACGAAGACGTGTCTAGTTACGTGTGCAGCATACTTTAAATCTACTTATCGGAAATATCTCCGTCTCTTTTGCTCTTTCCCCAAACGCCCATTGTGAAAAGAGGACAGAAGATGTATTAATAGTACTTGACATCGCCGCCATTTTGCCGATGCAAGACTGACTAGATTTGTATGGTACGATATATACCGATTATTTTAACTTTACTGTAGTCGTTTCAAGGCGGTATTTTAAAATATAGATAAATATCCATTTATTAAAATTTTAAATTATCGTCATAATGTGGCTTGCGTATTCTGGATTTGTTGCTCACCGTCACAGCAGAAACAAATCGTGAAATATTTTCGATAAATTAAGTCTTCCACTCGTGTAAATAAGAAAATAATATTGGATGAACACTTTTAATGCTAAATATTACAAAATGTTACTCACCTTTAGATATATTCTACAATATTTCACGGAAAAATCGTCAATTAACCGTCGGGGTTCACTGCACTGTTGTACTAATTTTTGAGATATGACAATGACGCGATGGCGAGAACGCGGGATCGACGCTCATTGGTGGAAAATGGCGGCCACTTGTCTGATTGGATATACGATTTTAGGCGGCAAATTTCGGTTGGTCGAGGGAGCGGATGGCGCGAAATAAATGTAAGACTTTCCGGTGCGCGTAAGCTTTGTTACGGAAAATCTTATTTGGCGCCTTTTTGTTCAAGAGTGTTTTCTTTTAAAACGGCTCTCAGTACATTTAAATGGCAATTAGTCGCGGTTTCGTTTGTTTTAAATAATTTAGGTGGGTTTAAAATGAATTCGAAAAATGTGAAAACGTCATTATAAACACTTTTCATAATACCTTCACAAAATCTTACTAATTTATTTGTCATAAATAATTAAAATTGTCTAAAAATTATTATTTTTAATAATTATGACATAAAAAAAATGAATAACTTCTGTATTGATTTGAAAAAATATGATAAATGATTTGTTGGGTTTAAAAATACATAATAAAAATGAATATAATTAAATACATCTTGTTAGAGATATGGATTACATTTATTTTTTAACAGGCGCTTTTAAATAACAATGCACTTAGATGTAGTTATTCAGATTTTGACATATTTTTATAGAATTGCTATCTACAAGTAAATGTCTGTTTAAATTCCAATGCTAGGCTACAGGGCAATTGTAAATATTATTTCTATGTTTATAATTTATCACTTTATACTAACGGAAACTTATGCTTTACCGAACGGTAAACGCACAAAAAGTGTTTCCGTTCCACGCAGATGTTTTCAGTAGATGTTTGAATTTTAAACAAAAAAATTACTTTCTTTGCAGGTGCATAGTTTCATGTTAAAGTTTAGGAACCTAATTATATCGCGAAAATATTAAATTTAAGTATATATCGGAGTTATATAAAATGTAAATATGTAATAGTTTTATCTAAATATTTTAAAGGTTTATCTTCCTTAGAAGCCTTTAACATAATGTAAAATATACGTACCTACATATAAAAATCGTCATATTTAGACAGATCCCAGTTTCCTATTCGACTCCGTTTCTATTGTACTCCTAGGTAACAATTACGATACTATTTCCAGTAGTAACCTGAAAATAAATCAATGTGGTTCTCTATAAATCGCTTATATTAAAAACAGGACGCAAGCCGCGAGTTGACGGTTATTTTTTTTCATCTAAATTTAAAATTAGTGTAGGATCTAACCGCTAGATGATTGATCCGAAACACATTTTCAGGCCACACTTCATCCTTGCTACAAAAACTATACCCTCATCCGACCAGCTGGCAAACACAGATTATGTACGTTTCCGACTTTTTAAACGGTTATCTTTCTTTCACAGATAAAATATGCAAATATCTTTGTCTTGCAGAAAAAAGCTACAGATTATACACATGTAGGTAAGTATATGTCATTATTTTCTTTTTAATCTTTTCGGTCTCAATCAAGTGTATATTTAAGTTTTTTTTTGATTTTGCGTATTGTAACGAACTAAATCTAGTCCAACTCATGGGAGGTCAAGAAATCGTGGCTGAATTTACTCGGTTACATCAGATCACGGTACATTCTAATTAGTAACGCGTGGTAATAAAAAAGATAAATACGAAAATCAACGCATGACGTCTCATAAGAATTAAGGCGGGATACACACAGGAATGGACACGGTGTGCGTGTAATTGATAGAAATTGTGTAGAAAATTCGGCGACCTGTACAGTCGGGAAGAGAATTTTATTGTTACACTTTTATTAATGGCTACATTTGTGTATAAAATTGGGTTCGAATCCCGCCATGTACCAATGTGATTTTCGATTTTTTGAATTTTCATATGTACATAATTTACCCGACGTTCTTACGGTGAGGGAAAACATCGTCATGCCTGCACATATCGGCGAAGAAATTCAAAGATATGTGTGAAGTCAACCAACCCGCACTTGGCCAGCGTGATTGACTATGGCCTAGTCACCCCATATTCAGGGTAGGCTCCGAGCCCCTCGGTGGGGACGTATAGTGAGCTGGTGGTGATGAAAAGTAATTATTATTTTTTATCTTTTCCAGACATTACACGATTTTAGATAGCAAATCTTGTCACAAGATAGTGTCTGCATTTTGCGATGCCTGTCTCTGTCTAAATCAGTCATGTAATATGCTTGTTTACGAGTACAAGTATTACGTACTGAATATATCCATATGCCTTATCAATTTGGTCCCGGACAATGAATGGTGTCGGAATATCTCTCGCTAACTGGGTCAGTTCAATGGCATTAAGTTGAGATAATGTTTTGATGCATTTTAGTCATTCATCATTTTAATTCATTCAAGAAGTTACAACTTGTATCCGGTATTATTTTTACTGAAATTACACTTGCGTTATCACATTTGTTGTCTTTGTTTTTAAAATGAGAATGTAAGGGATGACAATAAAAATTAAAATAGCTACGTTATCATTGACTAACACAGAATTATTTACTAGAATTCACAGAAAAAATTGAAAATAACGCCTAGCTTAATAATATTGTGTCGTTTGAATTTATATTATACTTTCCTAAGTCAAAACTATTAACAATTTTGAAGACTTTTGTACCCGACTGTACAAAGGCAAGGCATGTTCATGCACTGATCGATTTTCAAAAAAGGTAAGGTCTAAGATCACACAGGAGTTGTTATAAAAAGTTTAGACACGCAATAGAGGTCGGTACTGTCGACTCATGGTCGACGTGAGCTTGGCAAATCGCGGTAAGGGTTCACTTCATTAAGACGAATAACCATGACCTTTTACTATTGAAATTTAAAAGAAAAGACGTAATTAACATTTAACTGGTTCTAAATATTTTTGATGGCCAGCAACGCATCTGGTATTGATGTCCACGGGTGTTGAAGATGAACTTAGTGGTCCCGTCGCTATTTCCCTCTTTATCAGTCTTTCTGAGTCTTTCTACAATGAGAAAAAGATTACTCAAAAACTTTTTTTTTAAATTTCAATGTCTATCGTAAAACAGATAAAGAACAAATTGCTCCAATTATCTGACCGTTAGTGCTGGAGTATTTGAACGTCCATTGCAAACGCAGCATAATAATTGTTGCGGTGACGTGGTATGGCGGCGGTTGACAGGTGCCAATCTTGTGCAGCCGCGTTGCACACGGCATGATTTTGTATTAAGCTTGTATATAAAATGCCCAGAATGTAATTTTAGGTAGTTACGTGGGGAAGGGCAAAACTTTCTAGTTTGCGAGAACATTCCGTTACACGCAGTAGGCCAATAAAATCTAACGAATCATTTGATCGATTTTTAAGCATGAAATGGCAATTAATTAATTATAACTCTTTTAAGTATTATTTTAGAATCTTATTTTTCACTTCTTAAACGTCATTAAAGAAATATGTGTACAAAATGTTGTTTACAAATGCATGATTTGGAACGCGTTGAAAGGAACGGCAGTGGCAGTGAACTCATATCTTTGAATAACCTTTAAAATATTTTCAAACAAACATATTGGTATTTTAAGAAGAATTCATAATTTGTTTATTTAAATTCTTCATAATTCTATCACCGACGGATTGCGTACTTCGGCATTTTAATGCAACTAATTATTTGACGTCAGCTGTTTTTTCTGTGAGTTTTATTTATATTGTCAATCGTCATATATGTTGTCCAGAATATCCTTTACATCTATGCAAAATTTCATAGAGATCCGTTCAGTAGTTTAGGCTACAAACTCTATCATCCATCCATCTATCTAAACTTACGCATTTATAATATTAGTATGATAGGTAAAGTGATTTTTTAATGTATGAATAACATCGCGGTAATCTTTATCAAATAGTTCACGTGCTTCAGATCACATATGTTTTACCAATTGTTTTGTATCTGGTTTAAAAGAATGGGATTTAACTCTAAACTATGTTAATTTTTTATTTATTTAACTTCAATTTTGACTTTAACGCGCCGCGTATCGTATTTTTATTTGAATTGTCATATAAATATAAAAAAGTTTTTTTTTTTTATTTTAAAACACATCGTGTGAAAAACCCCTTGCACGAGTTCATGCGTCACAAACTGTGCAGTGATTGCGGGAGGATGAAGCCCATTATAGGACCCCTCAACACTCCCCTTACCTCTACGTTATAAAAACTATCGAGGATATCAAAGTTCGGGGTTGATTACAAGGGTCGGAACGAAAGTGAAATTTTGACCGCAAGATTGTATCGATGCCGAAATCTAATAAAAACAGTGTTCAATCAACTGTGAAATTTATCAGTGATCTTTTTTTTTCTCTCATCACCTCGTTATCATTTGTTTTATTATAGAATTCGAATTCGATATTTGAAATGGATTTTTTTTTAAAGTTAAACAGTCGAAGGGTTAGCCAGTGCTTGACGAATTGTATTGAATCTGATATAAGTGAAGCAATTGATTACACCTTTATTGTTATTTTCTTTTGGCTCTTTTATTCCTTTTTAACAGACATTTACTTGCCTCATTATATTTATGACTATTCAAAAGTTGAATTTTAATTTCTAATCCGCACAATTAAATCTTTCACACTTTGTAAACAATCAACTACTTACTCTAAAATGTTAATTCAAGATAAACGTTAGTTCCTCTATGAATTATTCAGATTATCTATCTACCCAAAAATATGAAACGGTAACATTAATCGTGTATAAAACTTACCATTGTAAAGATCTAATCTAATAAGAAAGACGTTTACGTAATAGTTTCAAGACGAACTTTGAAGTATGTATTGCAAGTACACCGCTAGGTGGCGCTATGTTTGCTAGTTTTTAAAACTAAAAATAAATTTTAGTCAAATGTAACACTACTTATAAAGAATCAGGTAACAGGAAAAAAATGACTCGTACATAGAATTTAATGTAAATGGAGGGGGGCAGCTGACTCCCCCTAGAGGTGCAAAATCTAAGAAATATAAATTACTTCGAACATATATATATTTTTAGTAGTAACAAGTTTACATTATTGGAAAATGACACCTATA